TCTATCTATCTATCTATCTATCTATCTATCTATCTATCTATCTATCTATCTATCTATCTATCTATCTATCTATCTATCTATCTATCTATCTATCATCTATCTGTCTGTCTGTCTGTCTGTCTGTCTGTCTGTCTGTCTGTCTGTCTGTCTGTCTGTCTGTCTGTCTGTCTGTCTATATTATTGCTCACAGTAATCCGATCCTTTTTGTTTTTGTGATGATCCATCATTTGGGATGGTCACATTGATCACTTTGGCTGTCCTCTGCTGTTTATCAATGATCACAATAGTTGGTTGGCCATTCCCGTTTTGGTTGTTTGTATCTGGGTGTCCCATATGATCTTACCTCTGTCATTCTCCAGCACCTTGGTAGGTGACTCCCATTTTGACCTGCGGGTGCTCTGATGCTAAAGGCCTGCACCTGAGCTGCCATGATCAGTGATTCTGTGATGTCATTCAGTTCCCATCTGTAGGATTTGGTCATTTGAGCCACTTCAGTTATCTGTCGGTGGTACATCCCATGCAGGGTTTTTCCTCCTATGATGTATCGTCCAGTTCCTTTATTTTCAGCTTCCACTGTCTGTGAAATTCACTGACCGCTTTATCCCTTGGGGCTTCTTAGAGCTTGGATGTTTTATTTTCATGGTTTCTCTGATGCTTACTAGGCCTAGGCCTGCTTCTTTGCTTCTTTCCTCCATAGACCAACTCATTGCCCCAACAGGGTATCTGATTACTGACAAGGCATAGCTGTTGATTCCCCAGACCTTGGATTACCTTCCCTCTCTTTGTCACCATCCAGCCACATTTTTCCAGCCTGAATGATTTCCGATCTCCCTGCCATATATCAGCTACTCAATGTCTCGTTCATTCTTAGCCTACATGTCATCCTTGTGCATGTGGCTAGGTGGATGATAGTGGTCCCATCTCTTAGATGGTATCCACCACCAGTTTTGCTGATTGTATGGCTGAGGGTTTTCAGGCTTTTGCAGAAAAACAGAGGGAACAGAACATCTGCTATGTATATTCCACATTTAATGGAGATTACAGCAAATGGCTTGAAATTACCCTCAAGGATGGTGTTCCACAGACTCATGGAGTTTGCAATTAAGGCTCTCAGAGTGTTGTTGAGTCTGCACAGGTTCGGGGATTGCTGGATCCATGTCTGTGGCATTAATATACATAAGTAAAACAGCCTTTATTTCAGTTATGAGAGGAACTACTTTATAAATCCAGATTTTATTGTGACTGCAACAAATGTGTGGGCCTTTTCTGTTAAAGTACACTTTGCTACAGCTATCTGGTGAGAAAAATAAAGCATATTTTATTATTAGCAGAAGAATTCTATAGTTTAGCCATAGTATTTCTGTCATATTAGTTTTTTTGTTTTGTTTTGTTTTGTTTTTTTCGACAGTGTTGATCTTTGAGGTAATTTTGAAGCCACGCTAAGTTTTAGACTACAAACCACAAAAAAGCAAAAATAGATCAGAGCAGAAATTCCAGTGGGAGTTTTCTTTTTCGCTCACTGAATTGTTCAGCCTGTAGGCTGTGCAACAGCTCCCTCTGCTGTCCCAAAGAGTGTAACTCACTCTTTTAAGCAGACCCAAACTACACTATGCAGTTTAAGAGATTGAAAGATAAATATATTTTAAAAGAATATTAGACTGCTTCAAAAATGTGAATAATTAAGAAATAAATATGTGATTTTTATTCATTAAATATTTAAAATAGTTTATAATATGAAAGAATTTGAGTCAAAGTGGAGATTTGTATGCATATATCAGAAAGATGAGTTGATTCAGAAAGTGCAGAAGTCTTTCCTTTTGAAGTGTTCTTATAACACCAGCTTTAAGGATGAAGCTTTAGTGGAAAGTTTTCTAAAAATTAAACTACGCTTTTAAAGCCTTGACAAATAAAATAAAAAATGTTGTTACAAATTCAAAGGAGAGGGAGTAGTATCATTTTAAAATGGAAATTGAACAACATCAAGAAAAAAAATATACACAAATAAACACTGAAAATCAATCACAAACAATGAAATTATATAGAAAGGTTCCACTTATAAAGTTCTATACTTCACAAGAAGACCGTGTCAATGTCTGAGACTTTACCAAAACACAAGCAACCACAAAACAGTCTCAGTTTTTTTCAACACCATTCCAGGAGTCTTTGTCTATTCTGTTGGTTTCCATTGGAACAACACCTATAGTGGGAGCACATATTTTTTTAAGCACCTTGCAGCTAATGTTACTAACCACTTTCTAAATCAGATGCAAATCATTGACCCACTTGTCGTTCTCATGGGTCATTGGAGTTTTATTCATCTTCAGATAAAACTGGGTGCACGTCAAATCAAATGTGGTGCATATTTTTAAGGTTTCTTTTATAATCAAAACTGAGTTTACTTTTTGATACCAATTGGAGCTCAATTCTGAGGGCATTTGACTATATAATAATAATAATTGAACTTTATTGATCACAAATTGGAGAAATTTACCTCTGCATTTGACCCATCCCTGGGGAGCAATGGGCTGCCATCTTTTTATGAATTACTTATTCTTTAAATTTATTTTTGTAAGTATAAGTTTTCATATTTTTGTCTGTTTTTACTTCCTTTTTATCTTTTACCATATATACTTCTTAAATTCTATTTATTTCTGCTCGTATTTTTTTAAACTTCTGCCTTTTCTGTCTCATAATATAGAATCTTAGACGTGGTCTTTGGAACAGCATCCCCTACACAGCTTCTCGCCTTGTGGCTGAGGTCAAGCCTGAGGGAAAAAGCTGCTGAGAGCCAGTTTAAAAAAGAAAAACGTAATATAGCTGACTTCTATTGTGCTATAACTTATAACCTCATTTGGAGAGGAATCAATCTAGGGTAACATCATTTTATATTTTCATTTTTAGAGGACTGGGAATATACGTAGATCTATGCATTTTTTCCAAATTTAATGGAACTTAGTAATTCAATATCAGATAGACGTTAAACATTTTGACCAAAACTTGCATATGAAAGATCAGGACAAAAGCCAAGATCCTACAATCATGCCTCCAGGGCTATTGAGGCAGGAACGTCAAAAACATTCAGACGTGTGGTGCATGCACACAAGTATTATTTAGAGATACATGGGGCCCCCTGCTGGATAAATGGACTATACAACATCATTTTGGCATGAATTCTGAAATGGAACTTCATGTAGAATTTGGATCA